AGCCCAGAACCCCACGAGGGATGGGCAGAGGAGGGGACGCTCCGTTGCAGCGCCGCCCGCCCGTGGGGGACGCTCCGCTGCAGCGCCGCCCGCCACCTCGCGGTTGGCTCGCCCTGCGCCCTCCCGAGGACTAGATCCCGGGTTTCTGCTGGGAAAATAGTGTGTTGTCAATGGACGAGTGGGAAACTATGCAGTTATTATTTTTATTGTTTTTGCTAAAGTGAAAAGTTCTATTTTCCGGTATGTTTCCCAAAATACCAAGCCAATCTCCTTGGTTTTAGGAATTTCAAAGTAGAACAAGCATACATTAGTAGAAACACAACCAAGTAGACCTGCCTGTGCTTACTCTCCCATATTGCTTATTCATGGCATGAGGCTTGATTTTTAGCTTTGACTTATGTACCCTTAATTTGGTGGTTCTTTTTCCAGAACACAACCAAAATGACAGTAAAGTTTAATTTTTGCATAATTAGATGGAAGTTGATTTTTATGAAACTATAAATTATGATTTAAACAGCTTATTTGTTTTAATAGTTTTACTGGCACATTATAGTTGTACATAATGGGGGATTTGTTGTAACATATTCGTACATGAACACAATGTAACAATTTGGCCAGTAGCATTAACCAGCATTTGTCCTTTTTATCGCTTGCTCCCTCCCCTCAACTGATATCTTATCTCGATTAATAGATTTACATGAGATTCTCCCCCCCCCCAACACACAGGCACCTTTATTTCCTTTTTCCTCTCTAGCTTTCACATATCTGAGAAAACATACCACCTTTGACCTTCTGAGTTTGGCTTATTTCACTTAACCTAAGTTCTCAAGTTCCATTCATTTTCTTATACATGCCATAATTTCATTTTTCTTTCTGGCTGAATAAAACTCCTTTGTGATTACATACCACATTTTCTTTATCCATTCATTCACTGATGGACGCCTTGGCTGGTTCCATGGTTTGGCAATTGTGAATTTAGCAGTTATAAACATGGGTATGCATCTGTAGCTGTAGTAGGACTAATTCTTAAGGATAAATACTATCCAGTGGTTTAGCTGGGTCATATGGTGGTTCCATGCCAAGTTTTTTGAGGAACCTCCATACTAATTTTCCAAACTGGTTGTACTAATTTACAATCCCATCAACAGTATAAAAGTGTTCCTTTTTCTCCACTTCCTGTCCACCATTTATTATTGTTTTTATTCTTAATGGCTGATGTTCTAACTGGAGTAAAGTGAAATTTCAGTGTAGTTTTGCTTGCTTAAGCAGTTTTTAAAAATATATTATTTGTTCTAATTAGTTATACATGATAGCAGGATGCATTTTGGCACCTCATACGTAAATGGAGCAGTTTTAATCATGACTTAGTTTGCCATGCAACACTGATTGACTCCAGTTTCACAGTTGTCACTTTATATAGGTTTACTGAAAATTTTAAATGAGAAATTTATGTATCACATTTCATTTCCATTAAGCTACTTGCTAGTGTGATAATTAAAATAGTTTCTACCTGACGGGGAAATTCCAGAAACTTGGTTTGCTGGGCCTTTCTAATGATAACTATCCCCCAGCACGGAATACAGTTTATAGTAACATCAGCTACATCTAAGCAGTTAATAATCTTCAGCCCATCTAGAATTTTAATTTTTTATTTTAAATAAATTTTATTTCAGGGCTGGGGTTGTGGCTCAGTGGTGGAGCACTCACCTCGCATGTGTGAAGCCCTGGGTTCAATCCTCAGCACCACATAAAAATAAATAAATAAATAAAGGTATCCTGTCCATCTACAGCTAAAAAAATGTATATATCAAAAAATAGGGGCTGGGAATTGTGGCTCAGCGGTAGAGTGCTCGCCTAGCACAGGCAGGACCTGGGTTCGACCTGGGTTCGATCCTCAGCACCACATAAAAATAAAGGCATTGTGTTGTGTCCATCTACACCTAAAAAATATTTTTTTTAAATAAAAATAATAAAGTTTATTTCACATACAAATAAAGTTCATTTCATTTTTTATTGCTTTTTGCTTTCCTCAATAGAAAAGCTTTAATAATAACAATTTTATAATACTTCTTTTTGTTAATTACCCGCATGCTAAAAATAGCATGAACGGAGTTCTTACTCCTGCTACTATTCACATTGTTTAATTAGTTTCTTAGTCATCATTTTTTCCAATAATAGGTACTGGCATTTTCTGAAAAATGCCTTTTTTTTTTCGTATGGCTTTCCTTATTTTTCATTATAAGATTTCCTGAAATTATCTTCACAACTGCATAAATTTGAAGTTACTGACACCTTCAATTACTGCTTGTCTATAGAATCTTAAATCAAAAATTTCCCTGTTTGTAGGAAGGTATCTACTATGTTCAAAGCAAACTCTGCTTAATATATTCTCAATTCTGGTTTCTTTATACTAAGAAGAACAAAATGTTCAGCTTAAATCTTTCCCTAGAAATTGTCTTTTAAAAATCCACTTAGAGCTATACATGTCAACATATATTTTTAAAGAGGAAGCTCAACATATATTTTAAGTTTGTTTGCTTTGATGATCTTAAGCAAATTTGTAGACTGCACAGATTGACGTCTCAATTTTAGCACATTTGTGTACAAAATACAGTTTGTTGTTGTTGTTGTTGTTGAGGTGCTAGGGATGGAAGCTGTGGCCTCCTGTGTGTGCTAGTACTTGTCCTACCACTAAGCCTCATCCCCAGCCCCAAATACACTTTTATCCAATTAGAAGCAGTAGCTCCATCAAAAGATTCTCCCCACAAGTTCAAGTATCCCAAAGCACAATTATACATTTCAAAATTAGGTCTTTTATAAATTTTTGGTTTTTTTTTAAAGTTAATTTGTTTTTTTTTTTTTTTTTTTTTTGGCAGAGATAAATTTCAATTTATTTGTAAGCTCAGTTTTCAGTCATTATAAGACTTTAAAGCTGCTGAAGGTAAATAATCTCACTTTAGAGTGCCAATGATTTTGAATGAAATGCATGAAAATGTAGAGGCTTTGTGTGAGTCCTCCAGTTTAACTAGTAGGTCCACAGGTTTACTCACTACAGAGTGCTTTCAGGAGCCTTCCCAGCAGGCTTTCCCACTGGGCCACAGTGTGGAGAACTCTGTTCACCGTACAAAAGCATTCAGCATACTTGCTTCCCGCTCCACGGTGGGCAAACCATCTCTATTTCACATGTTCCAGACAAACCTCACGAGATTTTCCACATGTACCAGTGGGTCTCAGCAGTAGCAGCCCAGTAGGGCTCGTGTGTGGAAAGTGGCAGCAGCAGGCCACAGCACGCTAGGCGCTTGGCTGACACACACAGTCCCAGCAGCGTCAGCAGCCTCCCAAGCTTCTCTGATTATGACCAGGCCCAGGACTGCTTGGAGGTGCAAATGTACCACCTCCCATATCAAGCCATATGTACTTACTTATTTTCAGATAGCACCCTGCACCGTTTTCTAGTTACTTTGAATCTGGAAAGGTTCAGGATAAGAGTTCTCACTGGCCATCTTCCATATTTCCCCACAAATTTAAATTCTGTCCTCTCACACACTATTAAACATGGCAGATGCTGGAACTAAAACAATGAAGGTCTATCAAACTCATCCCAGATGATTTTAATGCTAATATTAATAAGAGTCTTATCTAGCCTTATCTTATGTTAGTTATGTTGATTGGTCTTGAGGGAGACCTAGACCATGCAAAAGATTTGATT